TGGGAGATAAAAATTGCAAGCTGGTTTGGGACCTCATTCCGAGCTGCATTGTTTGGTGTGTCTGGAGAGAAAGAAACGGCCGGTGTTTTGAAGATCAAACAAGGACAACAGAGCAGTTTAAAGAATTGTTTTATTTGACTTTGTATAGTTGGTTTAACGCCGCAACCAATAGTCCGATAGAAGGGTTGCCTAATTTTTTAGTATTTCTATTTTGTTTAAACTGAGAATGCACTCCTTGTGTAATATCTATTGATTTTGATTTATAAAATTTCATGATTACTTATAAAAAAAAAACTAGTAGAATACTATTTACATGATTACTTATAAAAAAAAAATAAAAATATGCATATTCACAAGTTGGGGTAAAATGGGGCACACGACAATTAAGTTGTGCGAGAGCCAATAAGATGATTTAGTCATATTCAACGAAAGCTGCTACGTGAACTGCCTAGGAAATGCAATGGGATCAGTATTATTGCCCATAAGATGATTTAGTCATGGGGTGGCTGCAAAGGATAGTTGCCAGGGAATGTTTAAACTTAGTAAGTCACTAGAGATTGGAACCTTATACAACCCCTGGACTAAGATTTTTGTTTCTTGAATTTTGTTTCCTTTAAGGAATTTAATTCAAATCTGAAGTTATCCAAACTTATCAAAAAGATTCATATAATTTTAAGCAACCTGATGACTTGCCATGGTTGCTGGGAAAATAGACTGGGCCTCGCTGTAAAGCATTTCACGTGAGTTTAAATATATTTGAAGATTAATCTGATGTAGTTTAGATCATATTTAATTTCTTGTTGGTTGCTTCAGTTCGGGCATGGATTAGGCCATATGTTTTTTGACGTTTTTAAATATGTCTCTCTGATACTCATGTTTCTCTTTTAATTCTTTGGATGCATGTGTCATGCATGGTTGCAGTGCTGCCTCAAGAAGAAAGTAAGTATATTTACTCGATTTTTAAATATTTCATCCTAGACTTTGTTTCCTTTGTTCTTTTGTTATATTTTGTGAAAGCAATATACATTTCCCATACATTTCTTTTGTATCTTGCAGGCCCCCACTGTTTCGTCCTAGATTTTGTTTCCTTTGTTCTTTTGTTATTTCTTGTGAAAGAAATATATATTTCCCATGCATTTCTTTTGTATCTTGCAGATCTCATTGTTTCATCTTAGATATTATATACAGAGTCCAGTTTGTCCATCCATAGCTGGTAATAGAAGTAAGCCTGACTAAAAAGATGCAATATGACATTGTTTGGCATTAAAGAATAGGGGACAAGTGGTGGCTTAAAATATTCACGTGGAATGAAAACGTAGCGTTAATGTGGTTTATGCATGCGAGGAGGAAACAGGAATGATTACTATAATTCTCTATTTATTGAACAGAGACAATGTCAAAGTTCTGTATCATTTAGGGAGAGTATAGTGTCAGTATGGAGGTTTTCAATTAGTGGTCGCACGAACATTATTGTCCATCACTTTAGACTAAAGTTTCTAATAGGACATTTGCTTTATAAAAAAAATGAAGAGGAGGTTCTAGTAGTATGTATTGCTTGCATCAATACCCAATGTTACTGTCATACATTCCTCAATTTCAACTGATGCCTCTGATATCAATGCCATCTCTTACTTGGTTAATCTGTTTTACAAGTTCTATTCCTGAAAATATTTAAAGCGATGATTTGCTAATAGATGGAGGGATAAGTAATTTGACTTATTCACTCCCATATCATGAGCAGAATCCATATTTTGCAAGTACTACTAAAACCTCATGGCTATTGTTAGCATCTGTCAGTGATTTTCCAGCTCATTAGGTCTTCATGATTGCAGGCACTCCTTTTTGGAAACTGGTGCTGAAGCAATTCGATGATTTGCTTGTCAAGATTTTAATTGCAGCTGCCATAGTCTCCTTCTTTTTGGCATTGGCTAATGGAGAGACAGGCTTATCAGCATTCTTGGAGCCTTCGGTAAGATATAGTTTTCCTATTCCCACAGTATAATTGTAATTGTTTACACAACTTTTTATGTGCATTTTGACGGGTATCACAACAGAATATATATATCTTTTTTGTCGTGCCTGCACTTTTTTTTGATTTTAGGACTTGAATGTGTTATGATTGACTAGGGATGCTCTCGGGATTTTGACATTCTATTACCATTGGTCTTCCATTTTAGGGGATTTAATGATGGAAGGATTTAGAAATGTGAATACGTGTGGGTTTTCATCCAATTATAGTGAAAAGATTGGGATTGACTCTGGAACAATATGACACGGTGTGTGGTCATGAATGCACATCTTCAAGGGATGTGAACTGTATCTTAAAAACAATTCTGTCCAAATGTTGTGAGTTTTAGGATTCCCATAGTTATTGGATAATGTAGGACTTCGTATTCCAATCTTTTATAATTTTGGGTACAACTAATGGTTTTACCTCTTGGAATCCATGGTAAAGAAGGCTTGCCTGCTTTAGGTTTTGGTAGGCAGGTTGAATTGCTGTCAAAAATTAATGTAAGGAGGAGAATATGAAACTCTAAATAGACAAGAAGAAATGACCAATTAAAAGTTGGCATATTGTGGTTGACCCTCTGGAAGTTTTAGGAATGTTAGACAGGCCAAAAGGCATGATGGGCCATTCATAGTGCCCATACTTGGTTTTGAAAGGTGTCTTCAAAAATAACGAGGTAGTGTACAAATTTGGTGACAGCCTTTTCCTAGATTAAGTTTGGAGAAATAGTAGCACCAGCCCGCCATGTCAAGTATATCATTTAGTTGGTGTACTAAGAACCTATGCATACAGTTAGTTATTTATTGCACATTTTTCAACACACATTCTTCAAGTACCATCCTCCTTCTGTGTAAATAAATCAGTACCTATGTATGGACTTAGACACTTACGATTATGTTCCTTTAAACTTGCCTTTTGACCTAACTATGTTTCTGTGGGGTTTGATAAAATAGATAGGAAGATTAGGTAATTGTGAACCTCGCAGGCACCAATCTATTGCATGCTGAATAATGTGCATTGTTGGTACTTTATTAGCTAAATCTTCCGGAGCAACTTGTGAAACTTCTAACAGCAAGTTGTGACTTCAGAGGCACCCATGAAAAAGTTGTAGAAATCTATACTTTCCAAGCCACAACAACACAAACAACCCCATTTTTTTCCCTTTCCTAATGGAATGGCTTGTTAAATGGGTATTTTGAGGCTTTTCCCAAGTTCAAAAGTCTTAATTGGCCTTTCTTCCTGGTGTTTTTGGCTCTGCACTTGCAAGCTTTGAACAGTTGGTGCCTTAATATGGAGTAAGTATTTATCTTGCCATTATGCTGCACTCCATCATTTGACCAAGGCCGACCAAGAAGAATGTGAGCAACTTGCATTTAGATGACATCACTTCATGTAGGATAAGTTCAATTAGTTATATAATAAGCTTAGCTTTGTTACTGGATAGTGGTGATGTCACTACATTCTACTTTCTTAAGGTTGAGGATTAGGCCCCACAGGGAACTTCAATCATTGTATGGTAGATTCTGATAATAAATGGTGTAGTACGTACTCAAATTCTATCAATATAGTAGGGTTATGGCTTGGTTTTGAAGTGTGGACTAAAAGAAAAATATGTAACTGGGAAAATTGAGGGAAAAAGTTAATAGGTTTCTCAAGTATTAGCAAGCTGTCATGGTTTTTAACTATGTCAAATGATTGGATTTCAATGTTTATGCTATAAGAAATCAATATAATGTAGATTACAGCTCCGGGCTCTATGAAAAGTTGCCAAAGTTAAAGAATAAGAGCAGGAAATCAGAAATCTAGGAAATGCTCTGGAATCCTTAAGTCCTCAGAAACAAGGATGGATTGCATCACACAATTGCAAAACAGTTCCCGGACAGTATGGGGAAATCAATTAAATTACATATTGAATTATGAATGTTACATTCTTTTTATAGAATCAAAGAGAACTCCTACTCCAATTAAAAGTTAAGCTCTAATGAAGAAGCGTAATATAATCCAACTAAGATCCAATTAACACTCTTAACATGACTGAAAGATATAAAATAACTCCACTTGAAATTACAGGAATGATATGCAATTATGGAATCCCTAGAATGACGTTGAGTGGACTAGATTACTAACCTTCTAAAGTATAAACTGAATTAAAACAAAAACTAATGATTAAAAACCAACTAAATACTAATTTCGATGCCTTCTTGTAATACAGAAAATGGCTGCCATTCATTGCCAGTGAACCACTAATATGACATTGCATAGTTTGTTAAAAGTATCATAACAAAGATTATGTCGAACTAGTTTCCATAGGTTTTCTAAGTCTGAGACCCTATACTTGTATCTGTTTTGTAGTGCCATTTCTCCAATATTTATAAAATTTTGCTTTCTCAGGTTATCCTTATGATATTGGCTGCTAATGCAGCTGTAGGAGTAATCACAGAAACGAATGCTGAAAAGGCCCTTGAGGTCGGTGATTTTTTTTTCTTCTTCTGTTCTTCTTGTCTTAACTTTTCCTTGCGTATTGTGAATTTTTTTTTTGGAGTTAAATGAATTTGATTTATTTGCCCTTTTATTTGTAGGAATTACGTGCATACCAAGCTGATGTTGCTACCGTCCTGCGAAATGGTAAGACAACCGTATTTCAAAATTATGGAAAACTTAAATTTATTTTGTTAGGATATGGTTGATCTCTATGCTATCAGTATGTGATGCCTGAAATTCTCTTGATTTTGGTTAATTTCCTAATGTTCTATGGTTGGACCAATGACATTGATTGATAATGTTTAGACTCTCCTACGTTGATATTATTATTGCATTCATCATTTCTCTTAAAGTTACTTTTATGGGCTCCATATTCTGGGCAAGATTAAAATGATAAATCCTTGTTGTGGATTACTCCTACCTTTCTCTTACTTGTCTTCTTGTATTACTAATCTTTCAGTTTATTATGAACTTGGTTATATAAAAGTCACAGGAAACTTGGGTGTCCCAGTTCCTTTTTCGGCCAGGTCTCACCTCATTTGATGGTAACTGTACAACTGATCTCACAAGACTGAAAATGGTGTGCCTGTGCCCTAAAATAAGTTTTTTTGGCTAAGATCTATCCTCTCTCTTCAAGCTTTTAATTCCCCGTGAATTTTGATCTCATCTGCACAAACTGACTGTGACTTACTATTATTTGTAATTTGATGCCAACTCCTGTCTTTGTTTCTGGTCGGTGAAGATTTTCCAAAAGATGTATAACGTCATTTTGTGTTTGCGAAAATATTATTAGGTTGCTTCTCAATATTACCTGCGACAGACCTTGTCCCTGGGGATATTGTTGAGGTCAGCGGTACGTTGGTCACAGTTTTTATCATTTGAGAGTTGCAATGATTTGTTATTCTTTCTCTGTACTAACCTACTGTTTTGCTTTTATGACGAATGAGTAGTGGGATGCAAAATTCCGGCAGATATGAGAATGATAGAAATGTTAAGTGACCATTTACGCGTTGATCAAGCAATACTTACAGGTACTTCCTTTATGCAGATTCAATAGATGTTACATTTTCAATTTTCATTTGTTTTGTTGAAGTAAATCCGTGAAGAATGATCAATGAATTTTGTTATATACATTTTGATCATGTGATGTTTAAGCTGCTATGGAAAATATGGCATGTTCAAATTGTTGTTGGCATCTGGTGTGCGTGGGTTGGGTTTTTTAATCAACAATATATGCTAATTTTTCTCATGAAGCACCTTGGTATGTAAACCTTTTTGTTACTGGTGATTCTTCTTTGGCCCGTCTTCTGGTAGACGAAACTGGATGAGGAGTTAGGATATTAGTTCTTATTTATCCATTTATTTTTTGAAGTGATTCAAATTTATATTTGGACTTAGTTTAAGGTATATTATGCTTTATGCATTTTTATGCCTCTGGCAGGGGGATGACTTACCTTAAGTTGGATACTGTAAAGAGAGAGGAATAACTCTACTATTTCTTTTTCCCCCTTCGATCAATTTTCTTAGTTTTGACTTTCAGAGGTGCAGTTGTGCGAAAATCAAATATTATAGGAGGTCAATAAACTTCTGTTTCACAAATATGATGCTGCTAAAAATCCAGTTCGACTCAGCTCAGTCGACATTTGCATGGTCCTTCAAGTAAAGGGTGCCATATTTGTCGTGCCAATTTCATAATTTGAATAAACCCTTTTCTAGCACCTTAGGCTGAATATTCATGCAAGTTTCAATTCCTATCAGCTTAATAGACTTCATATTTACATAATTATAGGTTTCCATTATAACATTTTATTGTAGGTTATATATCGTTTGCACTTGCTTTTATTTTTTGCTCTCTCAATCTGAAGAAGCAATCACTTAGATGTCTCACCTTCTGATTTTGATAAGAATGGTGTATGTGATAAAGTGGCTCTGAATTGCACCAACATAATAAGTTTTAAAAATGTCCTAGTCACATTGTTTGCATCATTGATTGTGCGAGTATAGATTAGGTTGCTAGATTTCCTCATTGGCCGATGCTGCCTGTTAATTTTCTTATTCATAGTTAATTTTTTTATTTCAGTTATTTCTAGTGACTATTATGTCAATTAATCATTGTATTGTGTTGTATCTATAAAAAGGTTTTTAACTGGAGCTTAACTCTATTGCATGGTCACTATTCTTACTAGTGGGGAATTATGTTGCTTCGTAGTTTTGTACATCTTTCCCACCTCTTACCTTCCTGCTTATCACTGGAAATGACGTATCTATTTCTTTTGGGTGATGATAGGCGAGAGCTGTTCAGTCGAAAAAGAGCTGGACATCACCAATGTAACAAATGCAGTATATCAAGACAAGACAAACATTCTTTTCTCGGTAAACTTTTGAAAGCTAGTCCTGCAATATGTTTGGTATCTGGTATGGAACTTATGTTTTGAGACAATATGCTCATCAATTTTGAGCACATACTGGAAGGAAGCCAGTGCCAGTTAGCACATCGATATGAGTTTGCTCTAGGGATTGTTTTGACGTTATGGTAGTGTGGAATTGATGGATAGTTAATACAGTTTCTTTACGTGCAAGCTATATGTTTGACATATATGTATGGTATCTTCCAACGAAGTCTGACTAAGGATATTGAGATACAATTTCTTACATACTTGTACAAATGGCATGTATGTATAACAAAATTAAGTTAGAAATACTAATCAGAGACTAAGAGTTATGCTAATGTCTTTTATTTGGCCGGATATGTAAGAAGGATGCTTGATCTAGCCATATTAATTGTAATAAATTACAATTTAGCAGAACTTGTACATTTTAAGTGGCTTAGAGGTCATGGAAGTCTCAGTTGTGTTAACAGAAAAATATTTTCTGGGTTAGCATGTTCGAACTGGATTCCTAAATATTTTGCTATTTTTTATTTTAACAAAAGTAATAGTTAGGCTGAACTATTTACTTGATGTCTGATTAAATATTATTCTTTAGACGTTTTTTTTCAGGAGTTTCCGTTCAATAGCTATTAGTGGGTGCTTTTGTTCAATATTTTTCTACATTTTGTTTTTCAGGGAACAGTTGTTGTTGCTGGAAGGGCAAGAGCTGTTGTTGTTGGAGTTGGCTCTAACACTGCAATGGGAAGCATACGAGATTCTATGTTGAAAACTGAAGATGTGAGCATCATATACACTCTTTAGAAAGCTGGAGAAGCTTTTTGGGTCTTTCGCATGATTTATCTACTCCTTTGTACCTGAAAGCATTAAAAGTGGACGCTACTCGTGGCCATAACTCTAATTTGAATTCTCGAATAGCCTGCCATGGATGATTAACTCTACAATATGCAACAACTTCAACTCCATCACAGAATAAAAGAAATGCTGCACGTGTCGAGCAATATATCTAAGCCATGACAGGAATCTAAGATCTTAAAAAGTCGATATTTCTTGTCATTTACCTTTTGTTCAATTAAACTGTACATGCTTTGAGGGTAGATACACGACTGAGTAGCTATTATTATGTCTCACTGATCTCAACATAAATGGTTATCATATGTTGCAGGAAGTGACACCACTGAAGAAGAAGTTGGATGAATTTGGTACTTTTTTGGCTAAGGTGACTGCACATTGATTACATACTCGGTTTATACCGATATTATATTCAGCCCAAGTTACATTTTAACCTTTGTAACTACAATACGTTTTGTTCCTTTTAGGTTATTGCGGGAATATGTGTGTTGGTTTGGGTCGTGAACATTGGTCATTTTCGGGATCCTGCTCATGGTGGCTTCTTGCAAGGCGCAATACATTACTTCAAGGTATATCCGTTGTTTCCTTTGATATTCTATATGTAATTACATGACTTGGAAAGACTCAGGTTGATTTATTTTTTCAAATGACATCTTTTGGACATTGATAATTGCTGAGAATACTTAACTTGTGTTTGCATTAAGTATACAATCACTTGTGGAACATTGATCTAAGCTTTTCATGGTGTCATTTTCTTGAATCTCTTCTCTGCATGTTTAGTTATGGGATTTAGTTCTGGTGGGTCTAATTTCAGTTGGTACTTGTTTTTGAAGGTTCAGTTAGTAATTATTGTCATTGTTTATGGTAGATAATGAAAATACTTAAACAATATTACTCTCTTACTGGCCATATCTGTCACAATTTAAGAGGCAGACAAATTGAAGATGGGAATTGGACTTAAGATGTATGTGCATGTGAACCAACAGAAGAGAGTTCGATGTTACATTAATCGTTTCCATGTTAGTGTCAAAACTTTCTCCAACGAACCAGTAATACTAGTCAAAATCTGTCTTCATTGTTTAGAAACACTCATATGGTTCGTGATCTAGTTTGTAGGTTTAAATCATCCATGTGGAAGTAGCTTTACGAGAACTTTTAATCTGACATCTAATGATCTCTAAACTCCTTGGAGAAGGAAACAAATGATGGTTTCAAAAGTTTAATATGAGACGAATGAAATAATCATGACAGTGTTATGATTATAACTAATTTCATCATGGACCCATGGTGTTTAAAGATTGTTCTGAGCATATATATTTTGCAAGAGACACAGCATAATTCTGTGGGACGTCTTTTGCAGCTTGAAATGGAAAACAAGTGAAAAATAATATGAGTAATATCTGTATGAGATTGAGCATTTCTACTAGGTAGAAGTTTTATTTGAATCCAAGTGGATTGATCCATATTAAAAACTGAAAAAGCTTACACTAGAGTAAAGCTTAACCTTAATCGTGAAATATCATGTGTATATGAGTTCGATTTAGGAAAATTTGGAAGCTATGTTAAAGTTAAAATATAATAAATAAAATTTTCCTTTTCTTATCAAAAGCTTTTGACAAATGACTTTTCAGACATGCATACAATTCCACACAGACACACATTAGCATTGACTTAGTAATCTGTAACACATTTGTATAGATTGGAATAAATAGTGAGAGCTTTACAGAAGCTTGCATGTCATATTATTATGCTTGTTATCCATCTTGGTCAGGCTTTGTTAATTTCCTGGAATTCTACTCAACTAGGTGCGGTTCTGTATCTCGTGTGATTTATCTTTCTTCTTCAATTCCTCTATATTCCTTTTAGCTAAAGTTGAATTATTTCATATTTTGTTTAGTTATATATGAAGGTGACTAGTATTTTGTAGCTGATAATACTACTTATATTATGCCTTTTCAGATTGCTGTGGCTCTTGCCGTTGCAGCCATTCCTGAAGGGCTTCCTGCTGTTGTTACAACGTCAGTGCTTTAGTCTATTATGTTGTTCTAAATTACTCTTGATGTATAGATTCCGCCATACGTTTGATGTAGAGCAAAGACATTTATCGCTGCCCATGTATTATTGTCACCTTGAAAAAATATGCAGCATGACAGAGGTTCCCATGTTAGAAACGTGTGAAACTTATGCATTTATGGTTCAGTATATGTTCAATATAGAGCTATGGCCTTCATTGCTGTCCATGCACTGTCGGAAAAATATGCAGAGTATGGCAAGGGAGTTCATGCTGAAAATATATATTAAACTCATATTTGTGGTCCCTATACAAAAATTTGATGTTAGAAGGCCTTTTCCAATCTGTATCTATAATGTCCACAAAATCTTTGAATCATGTATAATAAACCTTCTTAAACTTTGTGGAACTTAGCGAACCTCGTGCATAATCTTGTGATAATATGAATTTTCAATAAGCAGCCAATAGGAGGTATTATATTTCCTACTGAATTTTATTTGAACTATTAATTTTTTGATGTTGTGTATTTAAATGCTACAAGGTTTGTGGAAGGTAATATTCGATTAGTTAGAGTTTCATGTACTATTTTTTATGCTTTACAAGCCTTCTCCATCGTCATTTTTCTGCTTTATTTTTTTTTAAAATGAACTATTGTCATTGGTTCCACAAAAATATGTCAATATTATAAATATGAATATTTGCATCCTTTTGACCTTAGAACTAATTTCACGCAAAATATAAAGCTTGTTGCTCCACTTTAGAAATTACAAGGTATTACAAGACTAGTGAGACTCATAAGGTGGCATGTCCTTGAGCTGAATTCTTTGAGACACAATCTGGGAAGTAGTAAATGGAACCAGGGCTATACTTAAATACTAAGAACAATTTGTTTGAAATCTTTTATTTTGTTCCCAAATGTATTGTAAGAAGTCTAATATTGTTTGTCCAGTCACTCAATTTCATTGTTGCCATTGCTGGATATTAGAAATTCTTAATCTGAATTAGAAGTGTTCTGTGTGGAAATGCCCAGTTGTGCATTTGACTTGTACATCTGTTGGAAAACATTTTTCATCAAGTTTACTGCTAATGCTTGTATTATATTGTCACAGGTGTCTGGCTCTTGGAACAAAACGAATGGCTCGTTTAAATGCTATAGTAAGGTCCTTGCCATCAGTAGAGACCTTAGGTTGCACGACAGTGATTTGCAGTGACAAAACTGGTACTCTGACTACCAATATGATGTCTGTTTCAAAGGTATTCAGTTGTCGAGCTTAATACATATTTATTTCATATATTGCATATTTTTATTTCCCTTGCAATATTTTTAAGGTCAGTAATCAATTCGTCTGGATGTTTCATTGTTTTCATTTTTTTTGGGTGGGAGAGGGGAGGATCTGCAGCTTTGTAATGCATTTGTGCACTATTTGGGCTATCCACTCCATATAAATTGATTTATTGAAACTATAAGCCATTCATGTCTAATATTAAATTCAATTTGATGTTAACACGTGCTATTATTAATATAGGGCACCACGTTATCTGAGCTGAATGTATAGAAAGTTTCATTATTAATTGTTTATTTGTTTTATATTGGCTTCAAGCTTGCTATTTTGACATCCTGACTCTGAATTTTTTAGTTTCGTTTAGTTGTTAAATGTACATTAGTGGTAGTTGTCTTCCTAAGTTACTTATCTTTAACATCTGTAAATACTTGATTTATGTTGAATTGCTGATGTAATTTCTCCTGTTTCAATTCTAATTTTTTCTCTTTTAACTTCTGTTGCCTTCCTTTCATATGGCCTTGTTACTTTGTAATGTGCAACTGTTACTTTTTAATTTATTTTTGAGAAACGAAATAGTTTATGCATACAGACACATCTTGCTAATGCATAGTTCACACGTATTGCTGCAGTTAATAATATTCTTGGAAATTGACATCATTTTCCTTTCAAAGTATTAATGATAGCTAAATGTTTGTCTTTTGCCCATTCAGATATGTGTACTTCATTCTGAAAATCATGGTCCCCTGGCTGCTGAATACAATGTCAGTGGCACAACATATGCACCAGAAGGTTTTATCTTTGACAGCATGGGGGTTCAGGTACTTTTTCTTATAACATGCTATATGTTCTCATTTCTCATGTTGTTTTGACCTGTTAGATTTAGTGCTTGTTGGCAGTGCTTTATAAGCTATAATTTAAGCTTGGCCAAACATGCTTATAGTTAGATTGACTTTATGAGCTTGGGTGGGGTTGTGCATATTTAAATTTTTTCCATCAGTACCTTATTTCATGTCTTCAAATCCAGTTGGTACGATATCTATTATTGTTCGCTCTTTTGACTTCTGTAAGGTTGTTACCATGATGCTGGAAAACTCAGATTTTAAACTGAATTAGTTGATGTTCATTAGTTATTGTTCATTCTATACTTGGAGGGTCTAGTATACTTGAACATAATAAATTGCATAGATTGAAAGTGAGTAAAAAGTTGGTGCTTCTGCCTATGCGGCAGCATTACCAGCTCCTCTCTTCTTGCTAATTTGCGCATGACTGCTCTCTGAAATCTCATTCAAGTCCTTTGGCCTACATCAAGAACATTTAGATACTCATCCTAGATATTGAAAATCATTTCGACTTAGAATACACCCTTTTTTACTGCCAAAATTTCTAAAAAAAAATTATTTCCTTCAGTTACCACTTATATTGGACCGGTGGTATTAGTTTTTCATTCTATTCTATTATCCTTAATCAAGTATACTCTAGTTATTTCTAGAGTTATTTTAATAATTATTCTCCTCATCATAAAATGTTTGCTTTGCCCACCAGAGCACCCCTTCAAGGGTTTTCACTTGGATTTTCCTGAAGAAACAATGGATTTGACATTTATTAAAATAAATTATTCATTCACTTCAGCCTGCTACATAGCAATATATAAAAGTTTAAAGCTTCAATTTAGAACTTGGGGATCCTGGATTTGGTTATTTGTGTTTTTTGCAGCAGCATTTGGTTAATTGTTGTATAGGTTACAAAAGGAGTATTAGTTTCACAAAGAAACTGTAATTACTTCATCTCTTCATTACAAAATGTTGCTGCTCTTTTAACGGTAGTTAGGAAACCACAATCTTTCAAGTTATTGATGCATTCAGATCTTACCTTCGAGGCTTTTTTTTTGTTCTTATAAATTTTCCTTTGGTAGTAGGTAGGTAAACGTCCAAAAGCTTGATGGTTTTAGTGGTTAGCATCTAGAGGGGATAAATAGAAACGAATAAGCTGCTTTTAGACAAATTAATTCTTTTTTTAATATCAGAGTAACCTCGGCAGTTGCAGACTTGCAGGTCATGTTATGTTGAAACAAAGATAGTAAGTTTAACAACGAAGAATTAGTTGTACAGAACAAAGAAACAAAGTATAATCTTATTAATCAAAGTAGGTGGCTATAGCTAAAAATCAGAGTAACTGCAGCTTTAGTTCTTCATTCCTTAAATAATGTCTTAACTGAATGAATGGATAATACAATGATAAAGACGAAGTGATTAGATTAACGAACCAGAATATTATGACCTGGAAGTGAACTTTTTAGTTAGCTTCTATCAATATAAAAAATTAATTTAGAAGGCCGAAAAACAAAAAGAGGGGGACGAATGATATTTGTTCGGTCAAAGTCGTAGATAAACTACCACTGAATATGTTTTACTGAATTTGCAGCAGTAGCTCAACTTTATTGAAACATCAGAAACAAAACAGATACAGCTCTTGATTGAGTTGATTGGCGAATACCTACTTATGACAAACAAATGTTTCAGTGGTGTAGATAAACCACACTGATTAGTCGCTCACAATAACTATCAATAAGAATGCTTAGAATCTTTCTATACATTCAGCTCATGGCTGATATAAATATGAGTTCAAACACTAAATTACATTATTTAGTTCTGAGAGCTCAAGTTAAGAGAATACCTATTTCTTCCTTCTCTCTCTTCTACCTTCATAACACTCAGCTCTGCACCTCTTTGATTTGTACCTATTGTTTTACTTCTCTGGCTCTACTTGTGCTCATTTGTATTCATCAAGTTGTAGAATGTTTTTAAATGACATTTGAATTGTCTAGCCATTGGAACCGAAGATAGAAATGATATTTTCTTGTCAAAATTGCTTTTACTGGCTTTCTAAAAATAATGTAACTGCGATAATGTAACGACTCGGGTCTCACTTAACGGGCTGTCCCGGTCGTTAGATCGACGACGTACTGTCCCCACTGTACCAACATGGGTCTTTTCAGCATGCTTTGTCCTCACTCGCACGCTCCCCGAGAAAACTTCCTAGGGGTTACCCATCATAGAATTGCTCCACATGCCAGTCGTTGTTTGTAACGACCCGGGTCCCACTTAACGGGCTGTCCCGGCCGTTAGATCGACGACGTACTGTCCCCACTGTACCAACATGGGTCTTTTCAGCATGCTTTATCCTCACTCGCACGCTCCCCAAGAAAACTTCCCAGGGGATCACCCATCATAGAATTGCTCCAAACTAAGTACGCTTAACTGAAGAGTTTTCTAATGATGGACTTTCGGAAAAGAAGGTGCACCCTGTTGGTATGAGTGGTACCTATCAAATCTTTTAAGATTTTCTGGTCTAGATATTACAATCACCCCCCGTTAGACTCTCGACGTCCTGTCGCGCTTGATCCATCTGAGGATCTGTTATCAGGCGTTGGGATTCTAGAGGTGGTTCCTACGGGTTCAAGAGGTAGCTCCCGCCCTATGGCGTAGCACTTTGTCCCGAATAGTACCTAGTTCCTGATTTTCGATTGGCAATCGAGCTCTGATACCATTTGTAACTACTCGGGTCCAACTTAATGGGCTGTCCCGACCGTTAGATCGACAATGTACTGTCCCCACTGTACCAACATGGGTCTTTTCAGCATGTTTTTGTCTTCACTCGCACTCTCCCCGAGAAAACTTTCCAGGGGGTCACCCATCATAGAATTGTTTCAAGCCAAGCACGCTTAATTGTAGAGTTTCTAACGATGGACTTCTAGAAAAGAAGGTGCACTTTGTTGGTATGAGTAGTACCTATCAAATTTTTTAATGTTTTGAAAGTTAGGGACTAAAATGATACATTTATTAAATTATATTTTAATTGGGTCAAATATTTAAATATTGATGGAGTAATGATAAATGTATCAATATTGGGCTTGTTGGATAGCTCGTAATTAATTATGAATATTAAGCTCGAGAAAAAGTTAATTTGGATTAACGGAGTCCAAGTTATCGAAATCGAAAGAATTAGCCTTAAATTATATTTTATATTAAATGAATTTAAATGTTATGAGAGTGACACGTGTAAGATTTGTAAGATATTAAATTTTTTTTTAAAGTTTGGTTTTATAGATCACGTGTGTGGGAGTTTGTTGAAATGGTTTAGTAGTAGTTTTTATTATTATTTTTATATTTTAGTGAAAAATTTCCTAGCTCGCCAAGTATCCCACTAAGATGTTGGTTGATATAAGTCACATTAGATGATAGAGACGTGTGCATGCAACTTACCATTTTCTATCCCCTCATCTCACACGTTTCCCCACAATATACCAACTCTTCTATAGTTGCATGTCAACCGGTACAATAAAAACAAAGCTTTTGGTAACGTTTCATATTTAGTTCTATAAAATTTGGGTCATGTGATACATAGGCAATTATAGAGAGTTGGTACATTGTGTGGAAACGTGTGAGATGAGGTTGTAGAAAATGGTAAGTTGCATGCACACGTCTCTATCATCTAATCTAACTTATCTCAACCAACATCTTAGTGGGATACTTGACAAGTTAGGAAATTTTTCACTAAAATAATAAAAACTACTACTAAACTATTTCAACAAACTCCCACACACGTGATCTATAAAACCAAACTTAAAAAAACAATTTAATAGCTTACAAATCTTACACGTTCACTCTCATAACATTTAATATAAAATATAATTTAAGGCTAATTCTTTCGATTTCGATAACTTGGGCTTTGTTAATCCAAATTAACTTTTTATCGAGCCTAATATTCATAATTAATCACGAGCTATCCAACGAGCCCAATATTGATACATTTATCATTACTCTATCAATATTTAAATATTTGACCCAATTAACATATAATTTAATAAATGTATCATTTTAGTCCCTAACTTTCAAAACATTAAAATATAGCATACGAACATTAAATTCTATTCTATGAAAATTTTCGGGGTATTACAATCTTCCCCCTATAAAATATTTTCGTCCTCGAAAATTTATCTTGGCTAATCGAAGAGTTCTGGATACTTGATTTTAAGCTCTTCTTCTTTCTCCCAAGTTGTCTCGTCAAGTCCATGATTTCGCCATTGGACCTTGACTCAGGGTCAAGGGAACTATTTTGTTTCTGAGTTGATGCACTTTTCTGTCTAAAATCATTGTCGGAACTTTTTCATGTGATAAGTCCTTTTGTATCTCCAATGTTTGATAATTTACCACGTGATTGGGATCATGAACATATCTTCTGAGCATTGATACATGGAACACGTTATGCACTGCTGCAAGTTCAGGTGGTAAGGCCACAACACCAAGCCTTTCCAAAATTTCGAAAGGTCCAATAAATCGCGGTCTCAGCTTTCCTGTCTTACCGAATCTCAATACACCCTTCATGGGGCCTACTTTACAAAAAACTTTGTCGCCCACACAAAACTTCAAATCCTTCTACCATCAGCATTACTTTTCTGTCGGTCCTGTGCTGTTTTTATTCTGGCTCTAATCTTGTCAACTGCCTCAACTGTTCGTTCAATGATTTCAAGACCCAAAACTCTGCTCTCTCCGACCTCATCCCAATGTATAGGAGACCTGCACTTCCTACCATAAAGAGCTTCATATGGAGCCATACCTATAGTAGCCTGGAAACTATTGTTGTAAGCAAACTCCACTAACGGCAGGTGTGTTTCCCAATTACCGCTAAGATCCAAAATGCATGTCCTCGACATATTTTCAAGAGTTTGAATGGTTCTTTCTTACTGCCCATCTGTCTGAGGATGATATGCAATACTAAATTTCAATTTCGTCCCCAAGGCTGCTTGCAAACTTTTCCAAAATTTAGATGCGAACCTTGGATGCCTATCCGAAACAATGGTAACTGGTACTCCATGCAATCTGACTATCTCCCTCACATATAATTGCGCGAACTGTTCCATGTTGAAATTTACTTTGATAGGTAGAAAGTGAGCTGACTTCGTCAGACGATCAACTACCACCCAAATAGCATAATGACCCCTTGCCGACCTCGGAAGGCCTACCCCGAAGTCCATTGCTATGTGTTCCCATTTCCATTCTGGAATATCCAACGATTTCAG